CCCCAAAACCCCAAAACCCCAAAACCCCATTTTCGATCCAACAATTGAAATTCTTAACATTATTCCCAAGGTCTCGTGTATATCGTTTCAAGTAATTAAATCTTTTCTTTATTTGGCTTTTTCACAAATGAAGTATCTTTCTTTGTAATCCCTAAAGCAAAGTTTAAAAATGAATCAAATAAGAGTCCCAGAAGGTGCGAAACTTCAATTAAAATCAAAATAGCTTTCTGGGCAACTAACTTGGACTGCTTGACAAATGGTTTATGACAAAACATTGAGAAAGTCAGGATTTTGCTTAAATCCAAGATAATAGGTAATCTCATCGTCAAAATGTTTCACTTTTTTGAAGTATTTTAGGACGACAGTAAACTCAGCTAGCTGAGCATTTTGGCTTCAAAGTATTACTGGTATCTCAATAAGACTAGCTTAGAATTGGGAAACAGCAGTTCCCCACTAATCATATTCTTGGAAATAAAAAAGCCTGCTTTGACATTATTGGGTTAGATCTATCCAGATAAGCTGGTAGATGGCAGTTCAATAAGAATAGGATTATCTTTAAAATCATCGCTCCATATCTATTGGTCTTTGAAGATAAAAGCATTTGAGAATAGTTAATATTATGAGAATACTTGCCTTTCTTATTATTCTCAAAAACTTTCAACTCTAGATGAGGAGAGAAAGCTCTTCTGTGGTGATAAGGTCTTTTCGAAAGAACAGGGGCTGAAAATTTGGTAATCTTTGGAAATCTTTTTGTATCTCTTCGTATATCATCAAACCTATGAAATGCATTAATGAAATTTTCCAAGACCCAAATCTCCCTTAAAAAGCGCTTAGCCTATGATTCCCACCCCCTTCTGTCTCCCCTAGCTCGTCTCAACTGATCTCACCTTCTATTTCCCATTTCAATTTTCCTATTGTCTCATTCTGGGCTATTTCCTTGTCTCTTCTATTTCATACATAAAGTTTAAGTAATGTGCTGAAATATTTTAAGAGTTTTGGTTAGGCTTCGAGCATAAATTATGAATGAAGTGTTGATCTGGGCTAAGATTATGACTTACTTTAACTTCTTCTTCTCCTGAGCAGTAGCTGAAGTCTTGTGGCTTAGAGTCGCCTTTATTTAGACCAGAGGTAATTCTTTAACAAAGGTGTGCTTATTTTCAATAGTTTTGAAGGCTCTAGTTTCTTCATCTATACAATAAGATCAAATAAATGCTTGGTTCTAACATACAAACGAAACACTTTCCTGATTTTCATTGAATTATATCTTTAAAATCGAATAGCTTTACCTTTACAGGAACAACACAGCCTTTCGTCTTGTTCAATAAGGAGAAATCAGGAAGAATTTGAGGTGAATTTCAGCGTGAAAAATCTACACAGTTATCAAATCAGTAGCTTACATCTATTTTTGGTAAACACTGGGGTGATCTTTTCCAGACTTGGAGATTTGCTATATAATTAATGAATGAATGAATGATTCAGAGATATCTTATCTAAAGAGAACTCTTTCGAAACTGTTTCAAGAAGAGTACCTTTGTGCATGCAACCGCTGATTCCTTAACTTAGATTTTGAAATAATAACATCAAACAAAGTCTCTCTGGATTTTGGATTAGATATTTCTCGGGACTTCTGAAGAATTTGAGCTCTCAAGAGCTTCTTATCATGCTGCGCTTTGAGCCTGTCCTACAAAATAGTACATAAGATACTCTCTTATCGATCCTCCCTGGTGAAATTATTTTAGTAAGAGAAGAGTGTCTTGGATAAGTCTCGATATTCTTCAGTTCATTCAGAAAGAGAGAATTCGTATCTATACAAGAAAAATATAGCAAGATGGATTGTGGCTCGTATCTAATAAGAAGAATAACATTTTTACCAAGTTTACCATCCTTAACAACAGATTTCAATTTCTTAAGCTTGATTTCCCAATCTTGGTTTCTATCTCTATCCAGGCTTTTAGTTAAATTCAGCAACTCAAGAAGACCTCCTTTCTTTGATTTTTGGGACTTAGGAGCTTTGTTTAGTAATTCTAGCTCTTTTAATTTGTATTTAATAAATAAGTGCATCCTCTTGTTATAACATCTGAATAGCTCAGCTAGTAGTTTGTCTAGAACTGATCGAGCAGCCCTTACCTCAAGTGATGTGATCCTTTGCTTCATCAAACTGGTCCTCTAAAGGATCATGACGAATCCCTTACCATACAGTGTGATTTGGTGGGCCAGAATAGTGATGTGATCCTGAATCAACTTCTTGCCATCAATTTTCTTAATCTTCAACTTACTTACCTCCCTTTCCGGGGAGATAAAGTTTAGTCGTTTTGCTTTAGAATGCTTGCTGCCATGAGACAGCGACAAAAGACGAGAAGCGCTCGAGTTTCTGTCAGTTTACAACCGAAGTTTACCTTAAGTTTGTATTCTGGGATTTTTCAATGGGTGATAAATTCTCACTAGTAAAATTCTCTGAATAAGTCTCGTTTATCTCCTTGATGTCGTTCAGAAATGGAGCTATTTTAGAGCTTCTCGAACGGTTTGAATTATCTAAGATGCTGTCTGTGAGAGAGTTGTCATCATACTTATTTTATACCAAAATTAGAAGGATCTTTAGAGGATGGGAACCCCTTTGAGCCTGTCCTCATACTATTTATTCTAAATTTCAGCTTATTAGCTGAATTCTCAAAGTTCTCAGGAGTGTTGTTTGATCCTTAAAATTTGATGAAAATTTACCTGAGATTTGGATTATGGGTATTTCTCCAAGATCGTATTCATCCCTCTAAACCATGAGCATTCACATTTTTATGATATACCTCTCCAAAAGTCAATCTTTTGGTAAACTTGTTCGTGAAACTAGCAGCTCTAAGGATATCTGCCCTATCTAAAAAATTAAAAATCTCAAAAAGTCTTACTTCTAATGCGGCACCTCTTTCTTCCAGTAGCTTTACCAATCGCTCTTTCCAGACTATCAGAGCTCATAGTGCTTATACATCATACAAGATGGCTTACTTCTGTCTTCTAAGTTTGTATCTTTTAATTCTTGGTTTCTCTGGGTCATATTTGCCCATATTCTTTATGGATTCCATAATCCTAGTTGCCCTTCCTTTAAATAATGAACAGATTTTCTTACTGCTATTCTTATTTTAAATCATTGATTTTTAGAGCATCATATCTGAGAAGAAAACCCTCGATTCTCTTGGAAGATTGGCAAAGTTTACTGTCTTCTTGAAGCCATTCTTATTCGATGATTTATGAAACGAAGAGTTGCTTTCCATCTCTTTCATCATTTTATGAATATTGTTTGAGTTGCTTTTGAAAATACCCGATGCATTGTTATTTAATTTCCAGCTCTGTAAGCCTCATCTGCATCTTGAAGTACCTGTAAAATTGTTAAAATGCTAATTATACTAAAATTCTACAGATCTTTATGCTATCATTTATAAAAACTTACAGAAGCATCCAAATCTCTTAAAAGCCTCGAGTTTAGAGTTTTCAAGCTATAATATTACTTGCTCTCTTACCTTATATCTCTGAATGCATGAATGAATAAGTTGCCAGCCATTCTTAGGGTAAATTATGAATTTTCTTATAATTAACAATTAGTCAGCCCAAATCTTTGTACATATCCATGAAGTCATCCATGGAACACATTGGTAGCTTGTCTCCCAACTTTAGTGTCTTCTTTTCCTCCTTTTTGACATGTTTTTCCATTCCTTGTGGCTATAAAATCCAAAGGAATCTTTACCTGGGAGAAGAAATGTCTTATTGGGAATTCACTAACTTCATCTTCAGAGATTTTCCGCTTTCGCCGCCTTTTAGAGTACTTATTTAGTACGAGACATTGTCAATGCAATAGAAGCAAGCGTGCTCTTGCGTTTTAACTGTTTCACTGATGACCTGGCCCTCAATGAATTGTTTACCATCGATTTCATGTCCAACATTGTTTTAAAATTATATTCTTTGTTGGGGTTTTGGGGTTTTGGGGTTTTGGGG